ATAGCTGTATGCCGAACATGAAATCTATCCTAAATGCACACAATCGACAAATTATGAACAACAAAAAAGATCCACCTAAAACCAATTGCAACTGCCTTAATAAAAACACCTGCCCTCTATCAAACCAATGCTTAACAAAAAACATTGTATACCAAGCTAAAATAAGTTCAACTAATCCTACTATCACTCCTGTCAACAAACTATACATCGGTATAAGCAAAACACCATTCAAAATTAGATATGCAAACCATATAAAATCATTTAACATTCTAAAATACAAAAATGACACTGAACTATCAAAAGAATTTTGGAAACTGAAAGATGCAATTTTAAATCCAGTTATTAAATGGAAAATAATTAAGCAGTGCAATGCTTACAACCCAACCACGAAGTCTTGCAAACTGTGTATAAATGAAAAATATCAAATTCTGTTGTCCAAAAATAAAAATCTACTTAACAAAAAAAGTGAAATGATATCCAAGTGCAGGCATCAAAACAAGTTTCTTCTCGCCCATTTCGACACGGCCGATTAAACAATTTTCTAATTAAAAATATGTTTTGACGTCAGAACTCATTTTATTGCTTTGTTATTGTTTTTTCTGTTAATTTTTGTATTTTGAATTTTTTAACGGTTTTTCTTGACTTAAAAGAACAAAATAAGGCTGATGATTGCCGAAGTGCATGAAACTTCAAGTACCATCAAAAAGTTGTATTTTTTCAAATAATCAAACTCTATTATTATTATTATTATATACATATATATATATATATATATATATATATATATATATATATATATATATATATATATATATATATATATATATATATATATATATATATATATATATATATATATATATATTACGTAAAAATATTACGTAATAAAATAAAATTTTTTATAAGGTTAGATATATCTAACTTTGAGTCAAAGTTTGACAAACACTTTTTTATTTATTATAATAGTAGTAGTAGAAGAAAAATTGCTGCAACAGGTTTCCCTGTATAACCTACAGGTTTTGGCAGCCTTATCTACTGCATACACTAATTTTATTGATATCAATATATAAAAATTTACAATAAGATATGAATATATAAGTTTGTACTTTATTGTTTTTCCTTTTTTTTTTTTTCTTTTTGTTGTTGTTATAATCTCGATACTTATGCTGATTATTTGAAATTTCTGCATCAAGCTTACTCAGGTTGTTTAAGGCCAGTCCAAATTTTAAAGGTTGATCGATTTACCTTCTAGACATTTCTTTTTAATATTTTTTTTTTTGAAAAGTTGTTGTTTTAAATGAGTAATACTTAGCAAAAGTTGTGCTAAGTTAAAAAAAATTAATATTGACGACAATATGGGGGTTGACTTAAATTGTCCTTTATCTAAAAGATGAATATATGATAAAATAAGCAATTAAATTGTTAGTAACAACTTTTCTAGTTATATGCGACTTAAACAACATTAATATTGTATTCTACCATCAATCCATAATTTTATCTAAAAGGTCAGGCAGAAAATCCGACGTTTTGTCCTTTCTTATAAAGAAAAACTCTTAAATGTCGGGAATTCGGTAATACTTAGCGGTTTGTATTTAATGGCTTTTTGATGGGTCGTAACAACAGAATTAATTTGTCGGTTAGAACAAATTTTATATATATATATATATATATATATATATATATATATATATATATATATATATATATATATATATATATATATATATATATATATATATATATATATATATATATATATACATATATATATACATATGGAAAAAGGTATATTGTTTAATATAAAATTGGTAGTTATATATATTTATATTATATTCTTTTTAAGAAAAAACTAATCTTTCTAAACATTGGCGTAACGAATTCAACCAATTTTTCTGGAAGAAAAAGAAAGCGATTTGATAAAAAATTTTGTATTAAAATAAAATTATTTGAATTAAGATATAAAGTATAAAGATATGCATTTTAAATCAACAATAAATGCACCAACATTAGTTGATTTAACAAGAAATTTATGGAAATTTAACCGGTAAACAATTTAAAGATGGAAACTGTCAATATTTTGTATACATCAAAATGAATTGGAGAAATAGTTGCGATTGGTTTTAAAAACAAAGAACTTTAATTGAGAACTGAGAAGGCAAATTGGATATTGGATTTAAACTAGTATTAAGCAGCATGGATATTGGATATTTAATTGTTTTTAGTTTTTTTAATTTGTGATTGGATTAAACCCTTTTATAGTAGAATTAATAGATAGGGGAAAGCGGGGCAACATGGCGAACGTTTTGAAAGCCCTGATTTATTGCAAAATTATAAGTCGTTAAGCAATAATATTTTCTCAGTATGTTTATGTTATTAAAATCCTTCATTGCCTGCATGAATTTTCAGTTTGCAAATATAACGATTTGAAATAAATATAAAAATAAAAAGCTCATAAATTTGTCATCTGATCACGTGACCGAGGCAAGATGACTTATGCAATTTTTACCTCTAATTTTATAAAATTTTAAAAACTACCAATAATTCTAACTAAAGTGACAAAAAATAAACACAAATTACAAAAAACTACTTCTAAAGAACTTAAACTTGAAGGACACCATCCATTATGAGAAACCGAAAGTAAGGAAGTTTTTTTTTTAAACGCAAAAAGTAAACTTATGCGTATAAAATTGCGTTAATAATATTTCAAAAAACCAATTGGTGTTTTAAAATACAAGATGCAAATACAGTTTCTTTTTCACCCAATTTTAAGATTTTTTGTTGAGTTTTTATATGAAAACCCATTTTGCCCCATTCGCCATGTTGCCCCACTTTCCCCTAATAGTTCATAACAAATCTTAGATAAAATCTAAAATAAATTATTGTTATTATATCATTATTAATAAAATTTATTATTTTAGTTAATTTGGTAATAATAATCATCATATTTTAATTGTTTAGCAAATGACCAGATCTTCATCTGTACATATATTAATAACTAAATTTTATATGATATAGTTTATTCACATTTAAGTTTATTTTTGTTTTCTTCTTTCAAAAAATAAAAAATTTTATCAATTACGTATAATGGACACCATAACAATTGCAGATTTTAAATACACAGGAATGAGGACAAAAGTAATAAATTTTCTTATTTTCAATACTTATTCCTTACTACATCTCAAAAACAATACAATACAATATTCTGGGTGAGAATTTTAACATGATGCCAGTTGCGCTATAGTAAATTATGACCTGCTGAATAAAATTTCATCATTTAGGTGATTATCCAGAAATCCAATTTGAAGCTAGAAATCTTCATGGTGGACATTATCCATGTTTGTGCGGCGGTAATGTTAGTCAATTTACAGATATTTCAATCGTTTATTCGCATAATATCATATCATTAGAAGATAGAAGGAAAAAAGTAATGTATTATTACTTTTAATTAAGTCACGAGTCCACTTTAGTGTATAACTTTTTACTTAAATATATTAGTTTAATAAATAAATGAAATATTACATCTAAAAGAATAGAAATGAAATTATAGAGCCATAAATGGACTACTTATTAGGCATATATATAGACTAAATAATTAACAAAAAATCAAAAAAAAAATTCTGAAATATTCTTGAAATTACATTCCACTATAATTTTATTTAAGACATTCACAGCATAAGTGTTAGATAGTGTGTCTGCTATTTATTACAAAATATTTTTATATTTTTATATCAATAAATGTAAATTTAAGGTTGTTATTGGTCCAGCAGGCAGAACAGCAAAAGCAATAGCTACATTTTTCAGAAAAAAAAGTATTTAAAGATTGTCTTAAATTGTGTTTTGGTGAAAAGGACAATGTGAGAGGAGCTGATTATAGATTATCAACAATTGTTGTATATGATTCCTTGAAAGAGATCTGCAGACCAAATGTTAAAATATTTTTTCAGAATATTGTGGAATTATTCAAATCTGCATATTTACCATCACAAAGCAGGTCACCAATTGAAAATTCTTCAATTATATATCTTGGCATCTCAACATATCCTTTTTTGTCGTTTTGTAATTGAAAATAGTCCTAATAAAATTACTAAGAATAAATTCTATGGCATATATTATCATTCAATCACAACACATTTACCAGAAATTGCACGCATTATTTCACCGAGTTCGCTACATACTGAAAATGAAGAGCAGATGTTCAGCAAAATCAAACAAATAAGTCTGAATACTTCTTCAAGAAAACTGGAACCCATACGCGATAACATTATTATTCGAATTCAAGCAGAACAAAAATAAATATATATATATATATATATATATATATATATATATATATATATATATATATATATATATATATATATATATATATATATATATGTATATATACATATATATATATATATATATATATATATATATATATATATATATATATATATATATATATATATATATATATATATATATATGTATATATATATATATATATATATATATATATATATATATATATATATATATATATATATATACATATATATGTATTTATGTGTGTGTATGTATGTGTGAGTGTGTGTGAGTGTTTGTATTTGTATGTTTTTAACGGAGTAGTCAGAATAATTTTTTAATTATTTAGATCAATCAGAACCTACAAAATTTTCTATTCATGAAAAAGAATTACAACTCCATTTTGAACGAATACCCAGCCAGCATTGTGGTACGGGTACCATGCGGGACCCGTATGGGTCATCAACTGGGCCCCATATGGGTAGCCCTCCGGGGTCCCGCTGGTTTTTGGCCGCGGTTTCCATCCGGGGCCCATATTGGTTTGCCCGCCGGGAAACCCGTGTGGGTCCCATTAAGATCCCGCATTTTTAAACCATAAGGGTCCCGTATAGATTTACAACTGGGACCCATATGGGAAAGCTCTCCGGGATCTCGCCGGATTTTGGCCGCGGTTTCTATACGGGGCCCATATGGGTTTAATAAATATAAGAGAATTCATATTATATGCTTATTTATTTCAAACAAAAAGCACATTAAAATTACATTTTTATTCTTTAATCGTGAATCGTATCGTAATCATGAATTAAAATCTTTGTGAAAACCACTTCTTTAAGCACTTTTTTCTTCATACAATATCTTTTTCAATAAGACCTGTGAAAAAATAAAAATTAAACTGCTTTGAGTTGAATTTTACAAGCAACCCATCGTTTATATTTTAAATCAACATCTTCTTTTAAATTGCATATTTTAAAATTTTTTTCAGATTTAAAAAAAAAAGTATTTTCTCACAATATTAAAATTGTGTTTAATAATTAAAGGGAGTATACTCACTAACCATTAAGTCAAAAAATTCTATACAAGAGTCATTCATTAATTCTAATAAACAAGACTACTTATCATTATTATTACTATTATATTTACTAACCTGCCATTAAAGGAGTTTATTTAATTGGAGTCATTAACTAAAATTGGAGACGTTCTGTAGTCAACTCACACCACTAGACAAATATTGCCAACAGCCAATGTGAACCTATTGCAAATAATCAGAAATATTCTTAAATAAAAAATGCAAAATACCTTAATAACATAAGAAAATGATAACTGACATTTTCTAAAGAAAATTAAAAAAATGACACAAAATAAAAATGGAGTTAAACTTGTTATACTAATTATTATAACTTAATTAAAATAAATTAGGATAAATTAGGATGTATAACTAAGATAAATAAATAATATAAATATAATAACTAATGTAAATAAATAAAAAGCGCAGATATGTAATAAATTGAGATTTCTTAGACTTTTTCTTTAGTTACTTATAAATAAATTAGCATAGCGTATATATATATATATATATATTTTTAAATTTATTTGTTTACATATATAATTAGATATAAAGCATATGTTAAAAAAAAGATTAAAAAATAATCACTTGACTTTCTAGAAAATTTTATTATAATATAAATGCATAATATAATATAAAGAGGTTATAAGTTTTAGAAAATAAAAAGTATTTATAATTCACAAATGTAGTTGACGCATAACAATAAAGCCACTTTTGTATGGTATTTGTAAATACTTAATATTGATGTCTGATAGTGGGTAAATTTTATTAATACCAGTCATTTTGCTTGCATAAAATATCGACAAATTATTGGAAGAAAGTGGATCTGTGAAAAATGATTCAAGAGCTGCAAATTCTTCAAACATAACCAATCCATCACAAGATTCGCCTGTTTTTATTTGTATAATATTTCTAACTAAACCAATTTTTTTTGCAACTTCAAAGCAGTTATTTCCATCAGTAGCAGAAACAAAACACTTAAAACCTTGGTAATTTTTAAACTGCAAACAATGTCTCAATGCAATGGTTATTGGTCCATCAACATGCTGGATGCTAAATTTCAGCTGATGAATATGATGTCTATCTTCCTTCAAACAGCCCTCGAAAATTCTCCTAACAATTTGTGAACATGGTTGTTGTGGCTTATGAACAAGCTTTTTTAATTGATCCAGATAATTTTCATATTTGAATGAGGAGCACTTATCCAAAACTCCAAAGTTAACTGCATCATCTGCTAGATGTATCAAAGAATGGACATTATAAACTAACTGATCTTTACCATAAAGTTTACCAAACGACTGCACAAAATAAGTAAGTAACTGACGAGCTAAACCAATATAGTTTTTCAACAAAATAGGACATAATAAAATACGAATTGCAACTGAAAGATCTAAAAAGTTTGAATAAAATTTTGGCTCAAGTAATCCCTTTAAAACAACTGGTCCAGTATATATTAGAAAAAGTCTAAGTTCAGTGGCTTTCCAATGCCGAAAATCTGATAAAGACCTTGGTTTCCTAGAAAATTCCTTTGGAATATAACAACGTATCTGGAAAAATCTATCAGATAAAATATTTACAGTATTTTGCGACAACTTACATGATCTGGGACCATTTAACCATAAGTTGATGATTCTTCGCACAACCCCTAGACATACTAGGTGCATGTAATCTAAAGGAAATTTTGATACCATGTCAAAACCCAACTCAATTAAAGGAGACACACCAATATGATGTTCCAAACTATTTTGATAACGAAAATCTGAATCAGTCCTTAAAGTTGCTGATGTATGCGGAAGGATTATTTTGCCACACCACTCCCTTTTTTGAACACAACGCTCACAACAATTATAACCATTGTGACCCTTTATACATTTCACAAATGCTCTTGCTGGTGCATCACATATAATTGCAGCAAGCTTTACATCATACTTTACATTTTCATGGGTAAAACCATTTTCAGTAAGAGCTTTAATCTCAACCAAAAAATCTTCTAGATATTCATGAATAGAATTTGGTTTTTTGTCACCACAATAAATTGCTATTGGAAATACTATTGCTCCAGCTTCAATAAGAGTACCTAAAATTGGCCAAAGAGAAGTACTGGAACTGGTGAATATAGGTATACCATCAATGTTAATGTGAATGGTAAGTTGGTTGTTGTTTGATTCTATTGAATTGTTTTTAAACATTATTAAAAGCCAATACTGCATGCTGAAATAGTAATACTCTCCGCCCGCGACAATTTTTGTATCTATATTTTGGGGGGTGTGAAGAAGTGTTCTTGAATCTTTAGGCAAACTTAACCCATATTCTCTTAATAAAGGTAACAAACTGTTCAAAGCAGCATGTGTTATATTGAAGCTTAATGCCCAATTAGCAAGTTTATGAGGCAATTTTTCGCTGTCATTACTTTCATCACTCTTATAATCATCAGAAATAAATGACTCAGGAGACCATTCATTACTATCATCTGTAAGTAATTCAATAGTGTTTTTGTTATTTTCTATTTCGCTAATTTCAGTCTCCATAACAGCTAAACTATTATCAGAATAATTAGAATTAGTTAAAAATTCGTTAGGTTCCAAATTACTGTCAACTTGTTCTCTTATTCCATGTAAATATGAAGAATCAAAAAACATATTGCTACTATATAGATAAACATCCTGATTCTGTATATTTAAAGTTGAAGATTCTTGAAAAAGTTTTGATACCACTTCAGCTATTTTTCTACGTTTAGATCTTTCAGAAGTCATTCTAGTAAATTAAAATAAACTATAAACAAACTTCTAACAAATATCAACTATAACTTATTATAACAAATTTAACAGCAATATATATATATATATATATATATATATATATATATATATATATATATATATATATATATATATATATATATATATATATATATATATATATATATATATATATAAGTATACATATATATATATATATATAAGTATATATATAATTGAGTGAGTCCCTAATATCATTGAAAAAAAAATTTCAACCTGGAACTTATAAATAAGCAAAATTAAATAAAAATTTCAAAAAAATAATTTCTTATTTGAAAAAATATTTAAAGAATTATTATCAAAAAACTTTTTATAACTTTTTTGAAAACCATAGGTTTTATATGTATGTATATATGATAAAAAAAATTCAGAAACTTAAAAACAACACTGAAAAAAGAAACTCTTTTTTTATACAATAACTAAAATATTTAATAAAAAAACTACTATAAAATATAACATATTCGTTTAAGATAGGATTAAGAATTATTTAAAAACTTTCTTCCAAATGATTAACGACATCTAAGCGCCGTCTTCGACCTATACCTCTGTCACGAGCATTACCAAACCATTTTGAAAGAGCCTCCTCAAGCTGTTTTTTTGTACACTCTTTTGTAGATGTATTCATTTTTATGGAAGCTGTTGTAAAAAAATATTTTCAAATTTTTATTTGAATTAAAATAAAATATGTAAATTCAAATGTAAAATAAAATATGTTAATTCAAAAATACTAAATTCTAGCATACTATAAAGAATGTTGTACAAAATGGTTTTAATAAATCCACGCTTATTTTTTTGGCCGGTCAAATTTAGCTGTCTGGCCAATACATTTCCAATAAGATAAGTCATATTTCGATTAACAAATTCTGAAATATCTTGCCCACCATTTTCAAAAAGAATATGAACCTATAATAAGATTGAATATTGCAAAATTAAACTAAATGAAAATTTATTATTACTAAATAATAAAGTACATAATTTTGATAAAGTATATGAAAATTTATACAAAATAGGTCTGAGTAAACAATTACCAAAATCCTTTGAGTAGTAACATTAGCTAATATTTCAAGAGCCTTATCCAGTTCTTCCATTGTTGTTACAGGAAATGTTAAACCTTCTGGTAGCTCCACTGATGCTATGTCTCTTTCTATGTTAAACCGTTGCAATAAATTCTGAATCATCTTAGAGTGAAATTTTTGTGTTTCTTTAATTTGTTCTAACCCTCTCAAAATAGTTTTGCATACTCCTATAAATGCTTACTGCTAAAGAATCTAATTGCTAATCAACATTAAATCATAACATATAAACACCTTTTTTTTTAGGGTCTTCTATTTCTATAACATATATAAGTATAATATTACCACTGCGAACAATGGATACGTGCCTGAATTTTCTGCTGCAGCAAAAGGTACTATTGTTGAAGAATTAGGCATTCTTTGATAAGTTTCAGACAAATTGAATGCAATATATGTATGAATGGTATATATATATATATATATATATATATATATATATATATATATATATATATATATATATATATATATATATATATATATATATATATATATATATATATATATGTATATGTGTGTGTGTGTGTGTGTACCCATTAATTATTGTCTCTATAAAGATATATTTAATAAATATAATACACATTGACTAACTTATAAAATATTAAATATAATAATAAAAAAAAAATAATAAAAATAAAATTTAAAAAATACCATTTTATAGCAAAATATTTAATTTAAATATTACAAATAAAAACAGAATGGAAATAAAAATATTAAAAAATAAATTAAAAAATGATCATATTTAAATTTAAATGTTACAAGACTGAAATTTAAAATTATACAATTATTAATGACATTGCGCACTTAGCATAGCTTAGTGCATTGCTCATAAGATATAATATATATATATATATATATATATATATATATATATATATATATATATATATATATATATATATATATAT